TTCCCCCACACTCCCATACGCTCCCCCACATTCCCCCACACTCCCATACGCTCCCCCACATTCCCCCACACTCCCATACGCTCCCCCACATTCCCCCACGCTCCCATACGCTCCCCCACATTCCCCCACATTCCCCCACGCTCCCCCACATTCCCCCACACTCCCATACGCTCCCCCACATTCCCCCACTCTCCACCACGTTCCCCCACTCTCCCCCACATTCCCCCACGCTCCCCCACATTCCCCCACACTCCCATACGCTCCCCCCCACATTCCCCCACACTCCCATACGCTCCCCCACATTCCCCCACACTCCCATACGCTCCCCCACATTCCCCCACACTCCCATACGCTCCCCCACATTCCCCCACGCTCCCATACGCTCCCCCTGAAACCAAGCCCTGACTGGAGCCTATAATGACTCTGTCGGAGTAACTTCTTGTAGGTAGGTGCAGTAAGCGATGTTGCCGCTAGGTGGCTCTGTACCAGAAGAGTGTCATCAGGTATTGGGCCCCTTTTATGTAGAGCCCTCCTGTAGTGATGTCATGGGTAAGTCCATGCCATATGTAAGCCAGGTTGGGGGGAGCCCAGCAAGCAGACTGGACTTGGGAGCCAAACACCCCCCACTAGCACAGATGGAACCAGCAGGGGGTGTCGGATGTGAACTTCCTGGCCCTTATGGAGGTGGGGACTAGGGAAATGGCAAAAGCCCTTGTAGGCCAGGCCACGTGTTCCCTGTTCTCCTTGGAGGGTCCCCAGAGAGCTGTACCTAAGGAGGAAGTGACTCCAGAGAGTGGCCCTGTGAGTACTACGGTAATGACCCCGGGTTAAGGATGAGTGTTCGGGGGAGATGATCTCCAGGCTCCCCCCCCCCCCGCCATTTTTTTTTTTCTACACCCCTACCTACCTTTATGGGGGTTTTGAGCATTTCAGATACTCACCCGCCCAGAGGATCCAGTGGTGTCCTCCAGAGACTTCTCAGAATTCTGCCCAGCACCGCCATCTTCTTACATGGTGTCTTCACGAGGCCTCCCAGCTCTTCTGGGTTCAGTCGCTGGGCCCCGTGATGATGCGCTGCTAGGCCCATCCCCCCCTCTTTTCTCTGTGCCTCCTACGTATCCCAAGAGGCACTGAGAAGAGAGGAATGACAAGCACAAAGGTAGGGCCAGAGGGGTGGGGTTGATAGGCACAGAGGGGTGGGGTTGACAGGCACAGAGGGGTGGAGTTGACAGGCACAGAGGGGTGGGGTTGACAGGCACAGAGGGGTGGGGTTGACAGGCACAGAGGAGTGGGGTTGATAGGCACAGAGGGGTGGAGTTGACAGGCACAGAGGAGTGGGGTTGACAGGCACAGAGGAGTGGGGTTGATAGGCACAGAGGGGTGGGGTTGACAGGCACAGAGGGGTGGGGTTGACAGGCACAGAGGGGTGAGGTTGACAGGCACAGAGGGGTAGAGTTGACAGGCAAAGAGGGGTGGGGTTGACAGGCCCAGAGGGGTGGGGTTGACCGGCACAGAGGAGTGGGGTTGACAGGCACAGAGGGGTGGGGTTGACAGGCACAGAGGGGTGAGGTTGACAGGCCCAGAGGGGTGGGGTTGACAGGCACAGAGGGGTGGGGTTGACAGGCACAGAGGGGTGGGGTTGATAGGCCCAGAGGGGTGGGGTTGACAGGCACAGAGGGGTGGGGTTGACAGGCACAGAGGGGTGGGGTTGACAGGCCCAGAGGGGTGGAGTTGACAGGCCCAGAGGGGTGGGGTAGACAGGCACAGAGGAGTGGGGTTGACAGGCACAGAGGAGTGGGGTTGACAGGCACAGAGGGGGGTGGGGTTGACAGGCACAGTGGAGTGGGGTTGACAGGCACAGAGGGGTGGGGTTGACAGACCCAGAGGGGTGGGGTTGACAGGCACAGAGGGGTGGGGTTGACAGGCACAGAGGGGTGGGGTTGACAGACCCAGAGGGGTGGGATTGACAGGCACAGAGGGGTGGGGTTGACAGGCACAGAGGGGTGGGGTTGACAGGCACAAAGGGGTGGGGTTGAACATTTTTCTAGAGGAAAAAAAAAAAGTGCCGTTCAATGTAAATAAGGTGAGGAAAGGAGCACACTTGCCTATGAGGGTGGAGATCCGCTTTAAAGTGCTGCAATGCTTTCACATGTGACTGCTGTGGACTGTCCACTTAATGCGAGTGACAAGGTAGCGTCTTGTGATGTGACTGCTGTGCCATGTATAGAGTTCCATCAGTAAAGTGCAGCAACTCTATTCATGTGTGGACATTCCTTCCATGGGACATAAAGGTCAAAGGTCGGGAATGTGGTGTGGAGGCCTCTGGTATGGAGTGGCGCCCAATATGGTGGAGGGTTACACCCTCAGCAGGAGGGGCGGGTGTTCTAGCAGGACAGAAGTGGGGGTAGGGACAAAACTAGCCAATCAAAGCCCACCTTACACTCTAGACAGTGGAAGTGTCAGTAGTGTATTAGCGGTCTGGGGGTTGAGCGCAGTTTTTTTTTTTTTTTCCGATCCATAGGATTTGTTTAACCAGGTAAATGCCGACATGGTTGCCGTCACAATGTGAGGGTCGGGTGTGCTTTATATATTAAACATTTGTGCAAACAGAGAGCATGAGATTGGATCATTCGCATTACTGAGCAGAGAATATTGTGGAATCCTTGTGGTTGGAGATGGAGGAAGTGGAGGGTGTGTGGCAACATCTGACCATGGTTTCCAATTGGGCTCGGTCTGACCTCAACCGTCAACATGGAGGGTGAGCAGATTGTGATCAGGGAACAGTGTGTTGGGGTTTTGTGCACAGAGGAGTCTCAATCCAGTATTGGGATACGAAGATTTGTATCCCATCCCTTTTTTTCTCATTTGATTCACTTTGGGACTCACATTTGTAAGCAGGTGCCTCCAAAGGGTTAACGTTTTTCTGCTGTGCGGACTCTGATGCTCTGAAGCTATCTGTGTCAACTGCGTGGTTTGTTTAACTAAACCATCACAACATCTATGTACAATAAACCGTCCAATGTAGACGTACACACTGTGTCCTCAGGTTGACCTGCTAGGTTGGTGGATCTGTTAAGGCAGGAATCCTGATGTAAGGGGGCATTCTGATGAGGATCCTGATGTAAGGGGGCATTCTGATGAGTATCCTGATGTAAGGGGGCACTCTGATGAGTATCCTGATGTAAGGGGGCATTCTGATGAGTATCCTGATGTAAGGGGGCACTCTGATGAGTATCCTGATGAAAGGGGGCATTCTGATGAGTATCCTGATGTATGGGGGCACTCTGATGAGGACCCTGATGTAAGGGGACATTCTGATGAGTATCCTGATGTAAGGGGGCACTCTGATGAGGACCCTGATGTAAGGGGGCATTCTGATGAGTATCCTGATGTAAGGGGGCACTCTGATGAGGACCCTGATGTAAGGGGACATTCTGATGAGTATCATGATGTAAGGGGGCACTCTGATGAGTATCCTGATGTAAGGGGGCACTCTGATGAGTATCCTGATGTAAGGGGGCACTCTGATGAGTATCCTGATGTAAGGGGGCATTCTGATGAGTATCCTAATGTAAGGGGGCACTCTGATGAGTATCCTGATGTAAGGGGACATTCTGATGAGTATCCTGATGTAAGGGGGCACTCTGATGAGTATCCTAATGTAAGGGGGCATTCTGATGAGTATCCTGATGTAAGGGGGCACTCTGATGTAGTATCCTGATGTAAGGGGACATTCTAATGAGTATCCTGATGTAAGGGGACATTCTGATGAGTATCCTGATGTAAGGGGGCACTCTGATGAATATCCTGATGTAAGGGGGCATTCTGATGAGTATCCTGATGTAAGGGGGCACTCTGATGAATATCCTGATGTAAGGGGGCATTCTGATGAGGACCCTTATGTAAGGGGGCTCTTTTATGAGTATTCTGATGTAAGGGGGCATTCTTATGAGGACCCTTATGTAAGGGGGCACTCTGATGAGTATCCTGATGTAAGGGGGCACTCTGATGAATATCCTGATGTAAGGGGGCATTCTGATGAGGACCCTTATGTAAGGGGGGCACTTTTATGAGTATTCTGATGTAAGGGGGCATCCTGATGAGGACCCTGATGTAAGGGGGCACTCTGATGAGTATCCTGATGTAAGGGGGGCACTCTGATGGGGACCTTGATGCAATGGGGAACAGATGGAAACCCTAATTTAGGAGGGGATTCTGATGGGGACACATCTGATATAATGGGGGGGGGGGGGGGGGCAGGGTGTGTTTAAACACCCTAATCTAATGACAGCCTAATACATACCGGTGTTTCCCCCATTCTGACACAGTATGACAGACTGTCAGTTCCCGCCGTGTCCTCACTAGATTCAGTCCTCCACAAGACATTTGGAGACAAATGTTGCCCTTTGGGTCCTTATAAAGTGGATCTTCACCCTCGATGTTGCCTCCTCTCCACCCCTCCTCCCCTCCAATGTGTAAATAGGGCTTTTTTAAAATGTACCTTTTTTGTAATAACAAAGCTCTGAGCCGCCCTCCTCATGCACGTCACTCACCTAGGAGAATGCACTTTGCCCCCCGCTGAGCCTATGCACATCACATATCCCAGGAGGAATAGTCCTTCACTGAGGAAGGAGGAGGGGGCAGGCCCAGCGGCTTATCACTGGAAGAGTCACCAGATGAACCTTGAAGGCCAGCAGCTTCCTGATGATGTCACACAAGAAGATGGAGGTTCAGGACCAAGTGGGGGACAGCAAAGAAGAGGATCTTAGCAGGATAACGCTGGATCCCCTAAATAGGTGATAATCAAAACTGTGCAGGACTCGAAGGGGGAGAGATCCCCTTTAAATTGGACACCAGGGGTCTAATTTCTATCATTCACACTTTTCCCAGTGATTTCCATACATTGCCAATGGTTTCCATTTCTCCATAGAGTAAAGAATTGTCCTTCCACTGTGGCCGTCATCTTACCCATCCTTAGGTCCCTCATTGAAGTCCTCTCCATGGTCTTCATGACCATCTTTAGCTTTACCATCATCACTACAGCATTCAGGTTCATCCCTGCCATTCCGGACTTCATTATTTGGACATTTGCCTTTTTTTTTGTTTCCTTTACATTTTGGGGGGTTTTGTGGCTTTTTTCTCTCCTCTTTTCCTGGCAAATTGGTGTTATTTTGTTGTTTCTTGCTGCTTTCATCCCAGTAATTCATACCGGGGTGAGATACTGGCGAGGTTGTGGTAATTGGATCTAGAAGAAGAAGACAAAGATTTTAGAAGAGGAGCTGTAGTGGAGGGGATAGGGAGCCCGCTGGAGCCTGATCTCTGGGGGGGAGGGGGGGTAATCTGCGGGGCCCGGATGTCAGTGTGACAGATGGGTCCCATTCTGTGCATCAGGATTGACGACAGCCATTCTTGTATGAATGAAACCATTGCAGGCTTTACTCATAGAGACAGTTTAACAATATTCTCACAATGTGTTTTGGCTAGACTTTAAAGCAAACTTTCGCCCTTTTTTCAGTGTTCTTCGCCCCTGCCTCCCCTCCCCCCTTTTAACACAGTGCCATTTTAAGCGACTAGAAGCATTGCTGTTAGGGTATCACTGCATGTTTTACACCACATTTGGAGATATCATTCAGAAAGTATCACATTCCCACTGTCCTTTCCAGACCCATTTCCTGGACCTCTAGTTCAGTTTTTTAGCTGTGTACGCTACTCCCTGATGGCCACAGGATGGTGCAACCAACTTTACCTGTGCAATCTGCTAATCACTCTGCTGCTCAAGCATCTGATCAACAGATTACACAGCTAAAGTTGTCTGCATTCAGTGGTTAGCTGGTAAGAGCATGCACGTCTAAAGGGACGTCAGGGATGCGTTCTTTCATACTGTATACTGCTTGAGGCAGAGTCCTGTTATGTGTGTGTCCTGTGATGTGTATAAAAGCCTTCCAGCCCCTCCTTCTAAACTCAACCTTACAATGGAGCAAAGACCAGCCAAGAGACCCAGAGATGAGGTATTTTTTGAAAATTAAAATTCTTTAAGTGGAATGTTTTAATTGTATGTTGACCAGAGGGGAGGGTTAGGGAATGTATTGACGGTGATTTCTCCAGGTAGTCTGGTTTTCTCCCACACTCCATAGATGTGGTGGTAGGTTAATTGGTTCTGTGTAGATTGGCCCTAGTATGTGTGTGTGATAGGGTCCTTCGATTGTAAGTTCTTTAAAAGCCGGTACTGATGTGAATGTGCGCAAGCTCTAAGGGTTCATTCAGATGGCATATTAGCACCATCCTCTGTGCAGACCCGCTGGCAGATGGACGCACATCCACCTTGGTGTTGCATGCAGGCCGTCCACAGAAATCTGTGCACACCAAGCACTGGGTACCCACCCCTGTACACAAGTCAGACTTCGACATGTGACTGTGTCCATGCCAGTGGTGCGTGTGCTCCCTGGTACTCTGCACAGAGGATGGCATTAATCTGCCGTCTGAATGAGCCCTAAGGGTACCCCTGCAAGCTCCACTTAGATTTTTAAGATACCATTTAGAACAGACCTTCTCAACTTTTTCAAACACAGAGGAACCCTTGAAATAACTTTCCAGGCTTGGGGAACCACTGCTATAAAATACTGTATCTATAACTTGTGATACATTGGTGTGATGGTCAATGGGAATAGCTAAAAATAGATATAGATATCTAAAATGATCAAAGGTGTCCGTGGAAACTTATCTGAGATACAGAAACTGCTCATTGGTCAAGGAACCCCTGGCAACCTCTGGAGGAACCCTAGTTGAGAAACCCTGATTTGGAAGGTAACATGCTACAAATACCTCCTGCTTTCTGTTCCAGTCACATTTCCTGGAGCTCTACCTTATCTCAGTTTTCTATGGACCAGAAGGAAGCAATTTTATTGCCACCAGACATCAAACTCTAAGTGCAAGCAGTTCCGATCTTATCACCCTCAAGCATCTCTGCTGTGTGGCACTTCCAAACATTGAAGGTTACCTCTGCCAGCCATTCATACTGTATGTAGACCTTTAGTTGGAGCCATCTAAGTGGTTCCCTGAGAAGAAAACACTCAATGGGCTCAATGATTGGTTTGACCTGAGATGCTCTGGGGTACCAGCAATGTTATTCGTAACCTCCACCTACCTCAGGTGTTTCTATACATAATATCTGATCCTCCAAGCAAGAGTAAAGGCCACTAATATCACAATTCCCAATGTTATTGGTTATCTCCAGCAGACATTCTTATGTAGGACTTTGGGTGGAGACATCTAGGTGGTTCCCTGAGAAGAACACTCTCAATGGGCTCAATGATTGGTTTGACTTGAGATGCTCTGGGGGGTACCAGCAATGTTATTCGTAACCTCCACCTACCTCAGGCGTTTCTATACATAATATCTGATCCTCCAATCAAGAGTAAAGGTCACTAATATCACAATTCCTAATGTTATTGGTTATCTCCGGCAGACATTCTTATGTAGGCCTTTGGGTGGAGACATCTAGGCGGTTCCCTGAGAAAACACTCTCAATGGGCTCAATGATTGGTTTGACCTGAGATGTTCTGGGGTACCAGCAATGTTATTTGTAACCTCCACCTACCTCAGGCGTTTCTATACATAATATCTGATCCTCCAATCAAGAGTAAAGGTCACTAATATCACAATTCCTAATGTTATTGGTTATCTCTGGCAGACATTCTTATGTAGGCCTTTGGGTGGAGACATCTAGGCGGTTCCCTGAGAAGAACACTCTCAATGGGCTCAATGATTGTTTTGACCTGAGATGTTCTTGGGTACCAGCAATGTTATTTGTAACCTCCACCTACCTCAGGCGTTTCTATACATAATATCTGATCCTCCAAGCAAGAGTAAAGGCCAATAATATCACAATTCCCAATGTTATCTCTGGCAGACATTCCTATGTAGGCCTTTGGGTGGAGACATCTAGGTGGTTCCCCAGGGAGAACCTCTCTATGGGTCAGTGATTGGTTAGACCTGAGATGTTCTTGGGTACCAGCAATGTTATTTGTAACCTCCACCTTCCACTTTAATAGGCTGCACGAAGCTCCCAGGTACATGCATCTGCCAGCAGCTCTGCACGGAGGATGGCACTAATCTGTTGCCCGAATGAGCCCTAAGGGTACCACTGCAAGCTCTGCCCAGATTTTGAAGATATCAGGCATTTCTATACATAATAGCTGATCCTCCGAGCAACACTGAAGGCCACTAATGTCACAATTTCCAATGTTAATGATTATCTCTTATGTAGGCCTTTGGGTGGAGACATCTAGGTGGTTCCCTGGGGAGAGCCCTCCCAGCGGGCTCAATGATTGGTTAGACCTGAGATGTTCTAGGGTATCGACAACGTTATTTGTAACCTCCACTTAGCGCATACATTTCTATACATAATATTTGATCCTCCAAACCAAAGCAAAGGCCACTATTATCACACTTCCCAATGTCCCACCCCAAACATTGAACTGTTTCAGTAGTTTTTACTTCATTTATCTTTTAAACTTCCCAGAATTCTTGGAGTTTTCAAAAAAGTTTTCTTACTTCCCTGTGTGGCAATGCACCTCCTGTCTTTGCTCTGCCAGGGGCATCTACCTCTACTGGCCTTCCACAGTGACATCCCCAAATGTGACCTACCTGGCACAGTGGAGAAGATGGCGGATGCGTTGACCCCGTCTCTACTCTGGCAGCTGTAATTGGCAAGGGTTGAGTTCTGGACTTTTTCCCCTCTTGCCCTGAACACACATTTCCTGTCTGATGGTTGGATGGAAGACTGGTCGATGGTAAATTTCTCCTGGCTTGTGTTCATAGAGGAGCAGTTGAAGGTCTCCAAGTTGCACCATAATTGTATTTCGTTGTTTGGATTACTCTCGTTGGTACATATGACTGTGATGTTCTGTCTTCCTGTGAGGTCCTCCATTGTTCCTACTCCAAAGAGCCCTAGAAAAGAAGATTGTGATAAAACACCTTCTCCACCAAGAAGTATAATGCAGGAGGATTCCTACCACATACCTACAAGTGTAGTCAGCACATGGCGAACTCCCAACATGGGGACCACATCTTCATCTGAGGATAGTGCAAGGTGTTCTCATTTGAGCAGTCACACCCACAAACAGATGGGGTATAGTATGAACTCCCAACCTGATTCCTCAGCACAGATAACAACAACTATCTTCACCTGCTCTGCTAAAAAAAAGTTTTATGTAGCACTACCGCTTAGGAGTCGCTAAAATTTTGGGTCCCCCTATAGTCCTTCACAGCCAGGCAACATGCATTTTTCACTGACTTGCATTCTGGAGACAGTAAATAGTCTTTGAGCTTGGATTTTAGATTTTTATTAGTGGTAATGAACACGGATAGGGTCAAGAGGTGTATGGGATGCCCAAGGGAACTTTAACTGAGGACTACTCCTTACAAACTATGGGATCTATACAAAAAAAGATTTTTCTTCCTGGAGAGCTCTCCAGTCTTTCCTGATGTACCACCCCAGACCCCAGATGAATCCTCTCCTCATCCAGCTGTACTGGGTAAACCCCTGCGCAAGGGGACCCAAAATCTGTCTCTTTAGATCAAACAGTCCCAGATGGGGCTAGTCAGATTTCCCACCCAAATGCCCTTTCCCTTATCCGGCACAGGGGGTGTAAGAGTACTTACTCTTCCTCTCCTGTGAGCTTGTTGGGTTGGTGGCTGCCTTTAGGCCTTCTGCTGGGCTGACTCCTTCCCTACTGTACAAGTGGTCCTCTCTCACGGGACTACTGAGGTTGTTGAGAGGTCCTCCTTTCCACTTCAGCCTGGAGGTAGGCCTCTTCCCACTGGGCCCCCTCCCAAGCTCCTGCATTCCAGCCTGTCACTCTCAATCTTCCACCCAAATTCTCCTGCAGGTTCAGTCATACTTAAGGCCTGTCCTGACCTCATGCCAAGCCTCCTTCTTGGGGATTGGTCAGTATCCCTTAAGTATGAAAATCAGCCCCTCCTGACCCCCACCCACTGAGTCCTAGAGACTTTTCCAATTCTATAGATCAAGGGGTGGTATCAGGGAACTGATCTGCAGAGCTCTCAGCCCTGACCTAAATTTGATCTTGCTAACTCATGTCCAGGCTGCTACTTAGCCTTTCTATCTAAAAAATATACACTATATTACCAAAAGTATTGGGCCGCCGGCCTTTCCACGCACATTAACTTTAACCACTTGCCCTCCTGAGGATTGACCCCTCTTAATGACCACGCCTCTTTTTGCTACTCGGCGCTGCACTAATTCAACTGATAATTGCGCGGTCATGCAATGCTGCACCCAAACAAAATTTACGTCCTTTTTTTCACACAAATAGAGCTTTCTTTCGGTGGTATTTGATCATCTGTGCGCTTTTTATTTTTCACGCTATAAACAAAAAAAGACCAAAAATTTTGAAGAAAAACTATATTTTTTACTTTCAGCTATAAAACATATATAGTAAACTCAAAGTTGGTTATAAATTTAGGCCAAAATGTATTCGGCTCCATGTTTTTGGTGAAAAAAATCCCAATAAGTGTATATTGATTGCTTTGTGTGGAAGTTATAGCGTCTACAAACTATGGGATAGATACCGCAATTTACGCCATTTTTCTGCTATACAGCGCTGCGCTAGTTTAACGGACAATTGCGCGGTCATGCAATACGGTACATAAAGGAAATGTATGTAACTTTTTTCCCACAAATTGAGCTTTCTTTTGGTGGTATTTGATCGCCTGTGTGTTTTTGATTTTTTGCGCTATAAAAAAAGCCTGACAATTTTGAGGGAAAAAAAAACAATATTTTGGACCTTTTGCTATAAAACATGTCCAGTAAAAAAAAATTTCAAAATCAAATTTCATCATAAATTTCGGCCAAAATGCATTCTGCTCCTTGTCTTTGCTAAAAAAAACCCCCAATACGTGTAAATTAATTGGTTTACGTGAAAGTTATAGCGTTTACAAATGGCGGGAAAGATACTGGGATTTTTAATTATTTTTTATACTAATAATGGCGGCGATCAGTGACTTTATGGCGGCGATCAGTGACTTATGGCGGCGATCAGTGACTTATGGCAGTGATCAGGGACTTATGGCGGTGATCAGTGACTTATGGTGGTGATCAGTGACTTATGGCGGTGATCAGGGACTTATGGCGGCGATCAGTGACTTATGGCGGCAATCAGTGACTTATGGCAGCGATCAGGGACTTATGGCGGCGATCAGTAAACTTATGGCGGCGATCAGCGACTTATGGCGGTGATCAGTGACTTATGGCGGTGATCAGTAACTTATGACGGTGATCAATGACTTATGGCGGTGATCAGTGACTTATGGCGGGACTGCGGCGGACATTCTGACATTGGGTCAACGGGGGGGAACTGACTTGGAGTCACGGACATCCCCAGTGACACCAATACAGTGATCAGTGCAAAAAAAAAAACACTGACACTGCAATAATGGCACTGGGGAGGAAGGGGTTAACTTTTATTTACTGAAAGGGTTAACTGTGTGAGGGGGTGTGTTTTACTAGGGGGTGGGGGTGTGTACTGCACGCGAGGACACGCTGATCGGGAGAGATAAACTCTTCTCTCCGGCTCAGCATGTCAGGAGCTGACAGGGAACTGACTTTCTGTGCAGCTGCAGCCCTGCTTTCTGTCAATGATTGCCGCTATTCGGCGGGACACAGCTGGTAACGACTGGCTGTGACCCGGCGACTGACAACCGCAGCTGTGATCAGCGGGACAGGTAGGGCTGTGGCACGCCTCGCGCACGCCCCCTACCTGTTTTGCAAACACACATTTTAAAACGTGGTTTTGCCCAGCCGTGCCACCCTGCCACCGTGTTTCTACAGTGGCTGGGTGGCATGTGGTTAATGGCCTCCCAGTCTTAGTCCGTAGGGTTCAATATTGAGTTGGCCCCGCCCTTTGCAGCTATAACAGCTTCACCTCTTCTGGGAAGGCCGTCCACAAGGTTTAGGAGGGTGTCTATGGGAAGGTTGGACCATTCTTCCAGAAGCACATTTGTCAGGTCAGGCACTGATGTCGGGGGAGGGGGCCTGGCTCGCAGTCTCCGCTCTAATTCATCCCAAAGGTGTTCTATGGGGTTGAGGTCAGGAGGGTTAGCAGATCCCCGGCTCATTAGTACCCCCCACTCAGAAGAACCCCAGCTCATTAGTACCTCTGTTCAGCAGATCCCCAGCTCATTAGTACCTCTGTTCGGCAGATCCCCAGCTCATTAGTACCTCTGTTCGGCAGATCCCCAGCTCATTAGTACCTCTGTTCGGCAGATCCCCAGCTCATTAGTACCTCTGTTCAGCAGATCCCCAGCTCATTAGTACCTCTGTTCGGCAGATCCCCAGCTCATTAGTACCTCTGTTCAGCAGATCCCCAGCTCATTAGTACCTCTGTTCAGCAGATCCCCAGCTCATTAGTACCTCTGTTCGGCAGATCCCCAGCTCATTACTACCTCTGTTCAGCTGATCCCCAGCTCATTAGTACCTCTGTTTAGCAGATTCCCAGCTCATTAGTACCTCTGATCAGCAAATCCCAAGCTCATTAGTACCTCTGTTCAGCAGATCCCCAGCTCATTAGTACCTCTGTTCGGCAGGTCCCCAGCTTATTAGTACCTCTGCTCAGCAGATCCCCAGCTCATTAGTACCTCTGATCAGCAAATCCCCAGCTCATTAGTACCTCTGATCAGCAAATCCCCAGCTCATTAGTACCTCTGATCAGCAAATCCCCAGCTCATTAGTACCTCTGTTCAGCAGATTCCCAGCTCATTAGTACCTCTGCACAGCAGATCCCCAGCTCATTAGTACCTCTGTTTAGCAGATCCCCAGCTCATTAGTACCTCTGTTCAGCAGATTCCCAGCTCATTAGTACCTCTGCACAGCAGATCCCCAGCTCATTAGTACCTCTGCACAGCAGATCCCCAGCTCATTAGTACCTCTGTTCAGCAGATCCCCAGCTCATTAGTACCTCTGTTCAGCAGATCCCCAGCTCATTAGTACCTCTGTCTATCAAAAATATGTTGGCTGGGGTAGCTGATAAATGGATGTTTAACTTTTTTTTTTTTCTTTTTAACTATAGGCTGACAAATAGTAGCACTTTTTTGATAATTTGGCAGCCTATAGTTAAAAATAAAAAAGTGTGTGTGTGTGTGTGTGTGTGTGTTAGTTGTTAAAAAAGTATATCACATGCCAACCAGCTAAATGTGGGCTGGGCATCTAGGCATCAATGACTTATGGTCATTGATGCTAAAAGAGAGTTTAAAATTAAACATCTATTTATTCGCTACCCAAGCCAAAATATTTTTGTTTCATTGTATTGTTTATGAACATCAATCAGACGGGGAATAGAGAGATACAAAGTAACATTGTTTATAAACATTGATCAGATGGGAGATAGAGAGATACAAAGTAACATTGTTTATACACATCGATCAGAAGGGAGATAGAGATACAAAGTAACATTGTTTATAAACATCGATCAGATGGGAGACGGAGAGATACAAAGTAACATTGTTTATAAACATCGATCAGACGGGAGATAGAGAAATACAAAGTAACATTGTTTATAAACATCGATCAGACGGGAGATAGAGAAATACAAAGTAACATTGTTTATAAACATCGATCAGATGGGAGATACAGAGATACAAAGTAACATTGTTTATACACATCGATCAGAAGGGAGATAGAGATACAAAGTAACATTGTTT